TAAATAAGTAATATCAAAATTGATGGAAGTGCTTGCTCCTTGAGTGTGACAGATGTTCTGTGCTTGTAAAATAAGACTTTTACAAATAGATGGCATTTCACCCTTTCTGATATTTTTGTATAAAATCAATTTTCTTTTTAACTAATGATTAGTATAGCCTGTTTGCAAACATTTTCACTTATTCTGCATTATTGTGTATCAAAATAGCCATCTAATTTTCATTGCAGCAAATGTTCTACAAGTACAATGTATGTAGTTTACTAATCTCACGTGCTCAGTTTTGTTTTGTTATTCAGTTAATTTATTACAACTTATGTATGTTTTAGCCCATATGAATTATGGAAAGTAAAATACATAATGCCCCAGAATCATTCATCCAAAAATAAAATGCCATAAAACACAAAGTATGAAGGCAAAGCTTTACAGTTCTAACTATAGGTACAAAGTTTCGGGATTTGTTTTTGGAAATAAGCTAAAAAATACTCAGATTTTTTTTATTTTGCCTTTATATAACTTACATATTAATGAAACACAAGTTATTTTTGCACAAATAAATGATAAGTATATATTGCACATCAGAATTTATAAGTGATAAATATTATTTCTGTGAAACTACAGTAAAGAATGGGAATGCTTTTCTCCACTTTATGTGATACATAATTCAGAATAAATCTGATGGAGATCATACACAAACAGCATTTTCAATGTCATCTAGTGAGCACTGATTGTAATTCATATTTTCTCATAATATTTTTTTGTCTTACTCACAGTGGTTTACATGTGGAGGTGTAATTTGATACCATTACATTTAGGGCTGTGCAAAGTTCTTGCACTGTTGCTTTTATTGTTTATGTTTTGTTTCTAGTAAATATTTTATGGAAGCTTCTATTACTGCATAGTATTGTACAACTTTTATGAAAAATATCTACATATTATGCAGGCCTGTTATAAATGTTCTACAGATAGTGAAACCCATACTATACCATTGTAGATGTTCAAGACTCCATCATCAATACTTAAATGGGAAGTTTAAATTACACAAAGATTGTTACTTTATACAGTAGTGTACATTCATGAAAATATTTTCTTTCTGGATTTTAAAGCATTGTAAAAAACTAATTATTATTAATGAGATGTTTTAAAGGCTACTAGAGATCTGTTTTATAAAACTATTACAGTAGCTTGTTTTGTTTTTCATTAGAATACTTAAGGGTGTTTGAAGGAAAGGTTTTTGTGGGATATCTGTTTTTTTAAACTTAGAAAGTATTCTATTAAAATCAAATTCCTCCATATTTTGAAAGTATAATTGGTTGTGCATACAAGTATACAGCCATTAAAAATACATATGGCAGAATTTGTAAGTTATTGTTAAAAATTATAAGTGTGTTTACTGAGAATCCTGAATGGAATTTTATATTTTTGTATTTCTACAGAATTTATATTAACTGAAAAACATCACTGCCTAACACTGAAGATAATGCAGAAGGTAAGAGAGTTTATGAAAGTTTTAAGATACTCTGTCTTAATAAAAGCAGTGTAAAATAGTGAAATAAAAGATGAATCATGAACTTTTCTCAAGACTCTTAATTTGGTTTTATTTATTTATATTTTAATTGTTTAATTGAAGTTTATAAAGCACTTATCCATGATTTTAGTTTTCGTTGACATGTGCAATTTCTCTTTTTTTTATAATACTCCATTGAAAAGGCACAATATTGCAAGAATACAATTCTGTGTTTCTAACAGTTTTGAATGTAACATTTGACGCTTTCACTACACGTGAGAAATATTTGGTAATCCATTCATTTTACAAATTGTTAATAAAAGAACTAAATTGTCATGCTGGAAGCTATGGATGTAACTGACTTTAAGGTTAGTAATTCTACATTGCAATATGGTATTAGAAACATTCTCAAACATCATATTACTATATGTTATTAATGATGTTAGAAAAACACATAGGTTCAAGAAGTCTTAATAGAAATGAATAAAAATCCTATAACCTGAGCACTTTCAAAAGGTGGACCTTTCTTCTTCAGAGACAAACTATATGTTATTAAAATATTTTACTTGATTGTTGTGCTTGGTTTGCCTTTTAATTAGTATTAGAACATATATATTCAAGTGTGTTGTTTATAGTTGCTCATTTTTTAACTTGAATTTATGTTTTTTAGTTTGAAATTAGTTTATTACTGTATCAGAGTTTGAGCATAATTTCATAGTATGTTAATTTGCAAACTTTGTATGTTTTATTATTAAAATTAACTCCTTTATCTTCCAAATAGGTGTTTGCTCAAGGAATGATGAAAGAAGTAGGACTGACGAAGGATTTAGTTGATCGTATCTTCCCTTGCTTGGAAGACTTGCTGGAAATCCATTCAGGTTTTCTTAGAAAACTTCGAGAAAGGCAACATCAAGATAGAACAGTTGAGAGGATTGGAGATATACTTGTTGAACAGGTATCAAACTTTTTGATTGAAATATACATACTAAAAGTAGTATGAAGGATCACAAAAATCTTCAAGAAACATATTATGGTCTTTTCAAATATCCAACTCTCTCATCTTAAAAAAAAAAGTAAATATTTTGACATCCTATTTCAGTCTCCTATTAAATGTGCTTGGGGTCAATCCAGTAAACTGACCTTGTACTAGAGAAGGAATGTTGAATATGATTCCAATTTTACTGTGTGTATCTACATAAAATGTGGCAAGCCTTTAATAAAATGTACATGAAAAGTCAGATGTGTTAAAAACATATTTGCATTCAAGGTATGTCTTTGAATTTATGATATCTGTCTGACAGGCAGTGTTCATCTGAAGAATAAAGATACTTTTCTTCATTGTACAGTTTGCATATTGCATTTGCATAACCTGTAGAACCTCTGAAATGCTTATCTGTATATTGCTTCTTGTATTTACTCTCCTCTGACATAATCTATCACTAAATCAGTGGTGTAAGGTCAAATGAATAGGTGATAATGCTGACATCAAATACATAATATGTTGAATGGCACTCTGTAAAAGGTTGTGGCATGTGCACTTTGACCCTCACCTGTGCACATAGGATTAACTGTGAAAATTAATAAATTACTGTGTAGTTTCATAAATTCTATTAAAACTAGTTTTTCTGCATTATTAGAAATGTATTATGATTGATAAAACAAACTGACTACTTTGTCTCTTCTTTCTCTTTGGTACTTGATCTTTTAACTTTATGCTCTTTCCACCAAATAATATTAAAAAAATCCTTTATGGTCATACATTTGACTGAGACCATATCAAACATTCTGACACAAAAATAATAATGTTTTTTCTGGCACAAACATATTTTAAGGATAAGTCTGCCATATAAGTAGGTGTTGTGTGTAGTGCTGTTAGGTTGATTAATACATGTGTCAATCTTCTGTAGTTTCAGGGAGAAACAGCAATTCAGCTGAAATCAGCCTATGGTCAGTTTTGTACCAAGCATAAAGAAGCCTTGTCATTGTACAAAGATATTCTTAAAACTGATAGAAAGTTCCAGAATTTTATTAAGGTAACATATAACTCTTTATAATATTAATTGAGTTTTATATAGTTTTACAATAGTTGCAGAAAATATTTCCACACAACATTAAAGCTGTAGCTGAAAGATAAGATTTACTGAAAGTTAACCAGAACATAATGGTTTGCTTACTTTGATTTAAATCTTTTATGATTGTTGTCTATCAAATCAAGTGGTGTAAATTACTTTTACTCTGTGCACAACTACAGTTATTAAATTTCTTAGAATATGTTATAAGATATTAATCTTATTTTTTTCTTCTTTGTAATTTGAACACTCTTTTTAAGCATACACCAAGATGTAAGTAGATGAAACTTAAAAGTTATTTTTATTGATTCTTAACATTATTATCTCTTCAATTTTATAATGGTTGAAAATTTTTTATTGATCAGTAGGCTAGTGATCATAAACTCATTGGTTAATTTTTGTAGAATGTGTTACATTATTGTGTAGCAAGAGTCATTAGTAAAGACTACTTCATATCTATTATCTGTTACTAATGTGGTTGCCAACAGTTGCATTTATTCTAACAGTACAAATTACTGGATGTAGTATAATGATGCACAAGAATGTTCCAGTGACATGGAATGTGCTGATTCATTCTTCAAGAAGGGTAAATAACATCCATAGTTTACGTACAATTGTTGCTGATCGTGTTATTTTGATAGACAAGGCTCATTAAAGCAACAATCCACGACGTTCGTATTGTCAAAAATTCTTCAAATAATGTGACAGTGACATTTATAAGTCATGTTGTTTGGCCAGAATAATTATTGGACTGCAATCTATTTGAGCATTTTTGAGATGAACTAGCATTTTGCTTTCATCACTGTAGTCCTGTGCCAAAATTTGTAAAGTAGTTGCTGACCATATTTTCAAACAAGATATCTTTTAGAATTTCTTAGAATCACTGTTTTGCTAAGTTCATACTATTAACATGGTGAAATCCCTAATTTAATAATAAATAGAGTCAGTATTTATATACAAGGTTATTAAAATATGTTAATTTAAAAAGGGGAATAGGGATTGTCAAAAAAATACAGAAATAAGTTGAATCAAAATGCTAGGATTATATTTTCAAGCCTACAACTGGAGAACTCTTAAAAAAGTAAACATCTCTACAGTTCTTATCAATTTTAGTGGAGTCAAAATAGGAATTTGTAGCTTGAGAAAATAATGTAGACACTATTTCCAGCCTAATTTGTTTGCTTTTTTTAAGAGTCCCTAGTTGTAGGCTTAAAAATATAATCTTTGCATTTTGATTCAACTTGTTTCTGTCCTTTCTTGATGATCCCTATTTCCCCTTTGTAAATTAACAATTCTTAGATATCTTATTTCTTAAGTTTTTTATGTCTATGTATGGAGAATAAATTTTAAGCTACATACGTGCATATGCATTCAGTTGAATGTTACATGTTTTTCAACAGTTTACTGCTGCATTGGCTTTTTTCCAAGTAAACATTATTTAAATACTGAGCCAAGTGGTTTTGTGTAAATGCGTTTAATAAGTGTTGAGTACAAAGGAAGCCACTCACAACAACTCATACATTATGCACTTTTAGCCACATAAATCAACTTTCCATGAAAAATAATCAATTTTTTAAATAGGTCAAGGACATTCGCAACATTTCATATAGTATATCTGTCTAGATTTCGGTGCAAGATACCCAGTTGATTTTGCTGTAGGTTTGTGAAACAAAAACATGAATAATAATAACGAAATAATACAAAAATATGCACTCACAATTTCAGCAAAGTACGAAAATCAGTAGAATAAATCGCTACTCACAACAGTAGAGAAATCTACTATGGTAATTGTCTATGTTAGAAAACTCTCTGAAATAGTCGCAGAAAACCACACGGAGACAAAGTACAACAGAGAACTCGAAAAACAATGAAGAACAGCAAACTCGAGAAATGAAGAATCCTCAATGTGGCAGTTTCCAATTAATGCGAATTAGTAAAACACCAGATTTTTTCAATGGAAGAAAGTGAAGGACTTAGAGAAATTCTTCAGGGTGAAAAAATGAAGACACTTGAATTAATTTTAAAACTATCTTATGATATACTCAATACTGCATTCATTATCATTGTCCAGGATTGAGTAAAATATTTGTAGTTGTTTTTTATGTAGTGGCTTGTAAAACTATAACCAATAATAATAAAGCTTGACATTCAAGAATCAATTTTAAAATAGGCCTACAACTATCGCAGGAGTTTGTTTAATAGCTGTGCATTGATTTTGGTGCAGTATATCTAGCCATTTTTGCTGTAAGCTTTCTTGTTTGAATGGCTTCAAAGAGAAACTTAGCAAGTAGCTATGAAAAAACTGATAATATCTTAAGAATCAACATAAAAATAGACTTATGGCTTGTGCAGGAGTTTTTTAGTAGGTTTGTCCAGGCTTAAACAAAATATTTATAGCCATTTTTTCTGTAGCTTTGTGAAACAAGAATATTACGAATAATAATAACATGAAGAACAAATGGATGAATTTTGTCTAATAATTGGAAAATCAACTTTTTTGCTATTATCAATATTTTAGCAGCCTTAGCCATTGAGATAAATGGTCTTGAGTGTTGTTTCACGAACGAGTCTGCTTTTCACTAGGTTTTTACCCATATGTGAAATTTCATGGCGAACCCTATTATGTACTATTATCGTGATTTATGATACTAAAAAAAACATAAAATTTAAAACTTTTCGAACACATATAATTATATTTTACTTTGAATTTAACTAAAAGTCAAAAGATTTCTTGTGTAATTTACTAAGAAATCTGGCTAAAGAAATTTTAATTTGTTTTACAGCGATGTAGTTTGATTCCAGTTTGTAAAAGCCGAAGAATACCAGAATGTATACTTCTAGTAACTCAACGTGTTACTAAGTATCCATTGCTTATTGATTCACTTGTCAGAGCCACTAAAGGTTGGTAGAACTAATACATTATACAATTGATTTTTGTTATTTTACTTTACACTTTTATGTATTTTTAACATTGATTTTGTTTTTAGTTAGAAAAATGCATTCATGTTATTATCTTTTCTCAGACAATAAATCAGAACAGCGCATTCTTGAAGAATCTTTAAGCAGTGTCAAGGTAAATATCTTTTAACAAGTCAATATTATTTCTTTTAATTTTGAACTTATATTTATTTCAAGAAATTTTAATGTTACTCTACTTTTTCACAGATGTGATAATGCAGTTTGTTAATATAAGCTTAAAAAGAATCATTTTTTATAACAAATTTAGGATTTTAAAATTTTTTATGTCTCTGTTACCATATTAATATATGTTAATAATCTGCGTATCTTGTTTCATTTGCTTAAGATGATTTTAAGAAGTTTTGTAAACAAACCTTAAAGAATATATATTCAATTTATGGAAGTTTCCTATTGTTTCTTTATATATCTTCCATTTTTTTGTTTTTGTTTTTACCTTTAGTATTAATCTTTTACAAATCAAATTTTGGTATAGTGATTAATACTCAGATATTAGAATTGTAAACAAGAATAATATTTGACACTTACATTACATTTGGAGAGAAAATTCAGTACATCAGTTTATAAGACTGTAATTTTGCCAATAAAATTTTTACAAATAAAAAATAGATAAATAAGTCAAAACCAGTAATGTTGCCAAATATAAAAACAAATTAGTAATTCACATTGTGTAAGGAATTTAAGATAAAAAAATAAAAGTTCCAGAAAAGGCTTAGCTTTTAGTTATAATGTATTATGTAATCAACAAATGTATGTATATTTGTTTCAACACTGCTTTTAGTTTGTTTGAAGAACTATTATTTGATACTCTGCTTTCATTTTGTGCTTCTAAAACTTTGTAAAGTCTATTAGTCATTAGATTATTATACGGTCTCTACTTCACATGTTTATTATATTGGGAAGACTGGTATTTGCTCTGTAATTGGGCAAAGGTTTGAAATTTGACACAAAGACATGTAGTTAAGCCATAAATAAATATATGTTACTGTCCATAATGGTAGCTTGGCAATTTAAAAAATATTAACAAGTACTATTAAGTACAGTTACACATATAAACTTGTTCAAGATATTAACTCATGAATATATCTGGGAATATAAAATCATTCTCTAAGTATGTTTTTCCTTGTAATTATTACAAATCCCCTTTCATTTTTCAGCCATTTCAGTAATACTACTTTTTAGATATTACTTAAAATTATAACATTGTTATAATTTACAAAGAACATATTTTTTCATTTACCCTAAATGTTTTAAATTGTTATTAGACTTTTAAACATAACTTGATTTCATAATATTTTCTTCGCCAATCTCTGATAGAAAAAAAACAAATGTAAAACAAGAGCTATATAAAAATAAGAAAAATACAAATTTTGGGCTTATTTTTAAGTTGACCATTGATTTCATATTAGGATATAATCAGTCAAGTCAATACTCAAGTGGCAGAAAATGAAAGACAGCAACGTTTATTGGAAATATACAATAAAGTGGATGCCAAATCAACAGCCTACTTTCGGGGTAAAAAATTTAAGGTACAGTATGACTTGAAGAGTCAGATGTATATTAATTAAATATAAAACAAATTTTGGTTACACTACAGATGTGGTAGAAATCAGTTTCTACTCCAACCAAAGTGGTTAGCTTTAGCTTGTGTTTTTATTTTATTTTCTTGTAAAATTTGGTAATCATGTATTATAAAGCAATGAGACAGATTTTCATCAGTAATTAAATGATATGCCACTGTGGCTTAGAATATAGATCATTATCAGATGAGTCTTCAAGGCTCTCAAAGCTTTTAACCACGTTCTTTAAACATAACCTGTCTCCACTGTCATGATGAGGCTTAGGTAGTCTGTTAGGAGTATGATCTGGTTATGTTTTTCACTGTTACTGATCATCCAGACAAGTGTATCCCTACATGGTTCACATTCTGCTCTGAATTAACTGGATTCAAACACTAGATATCCATAAAGTTGTTTAAACATTTGTTTAACAACAAGTAAAAGCTTGGAATGGTCCATTCTTTCATTGGGGGGGGGGGATGTGAGCCAGACTAGTTTTGGAGAATTTCACTCCTCATCAGTGACCCTGGACCATATATCCATTTCTTGACTTTGTCTCTGTTGATCAGTCTTCATGTTTCTCTCCATATCTTGCTGCCAGTCATCATTGTATTTAACTTAATGTCACCATTCCCTTTTTTTATGGTACATCTGTTCAGTCCAGTTTTCTTTTTTTATATTCTAATACGGTAAAAAATAAATTTAGTTAATCCAAATTATTAATTGTTTTATCTTTCCAAAACTGTTTTAAAAAATCCAGTGTATATTTACATTTAGTAATTTACTTTTTTTTTTTATAACAGAAATCTGACCTGTTATCTAGTGGTCGCAAGTTGCGTTATGAGGGTACAATTTCTTTACGAACCGCCAGGGGAAAAACTGTTGGTAAGTACTTCTTTAAGTTATAATGGAAATGATAGTTAGTGTTCAGCCTCATTAAAACTACCTAACAAATCTTTGAACAGTATTCTGATGTCCAATCTTAAAGTGTAAATTCAATTATATATCCCACTTACAGAAAAGAAAAAAGTATCTTAATGGTGCTACATAATATTAGACTATTATAAATCCATCTTAAATACTTTCTGACAAACACAGTTAAATGAGCAAGTTATTAAGCAATCAGCATATATTTTTTGAGCCAATAAAAAATAATGAATATTTATTAACTTGCTGCAACTTTTTTATTACTAACAGTTTTATCCTAAGTATTCAAGGTTGTAGCTTGTAATAAGTACAATTCTTCAAGAATAAAGCAATTGTAAGCAAGCACATTTTCATGCAAAATTTGATGCTTGATGTCTACTTCCATGACTGGAGTGAAATTTCATAACCTTATTTTTGATAAATAATTTTAAAAATGTGATTATACAACTACTTCAGTATTTTAATTAATTAATTCTATCATATTTAATACCTTCCCTGTACTTGCAGTTTTAAAATTAAAATAAAATTTGAATTTTATGCATTACTAACTGAATGCAGAAAAGTATTTGTAACTAAGTCCATTTCTAATACCAGTTTACTGTTGCAATGATATGTGAGTTATCTGTTATAGTGGCTCCTAACCCTTAGAGCAGTCAAGTAAACTACACAAAGCAATAGTGTAAATGCTGAAATAAAATTTACAACCCTGCTGTTAAGTATACATAGGGTTGTAATATGCTTAACATTTAAATTTTAACCAAGCACAAAATATATAGAAATTTTCTATACCATTTAATCATAGTATGTCAGGTTAATTCTCTAGAGACCAATGAAATAATTATTAAAAAATTAAATGAAATACCATAATCACAACATGGAGGCAAAACAAAAACTCTTATGACAATTATAAAGAACAATTGTTTTTTTCATTGCTTTGTGCTCCGTAATGATTGTCTGGAGGCATAACTGCCATATGTTTAATTCATAACAAGCTACACAAATGGTTCAAGCATACACTTGACACTGTGGAATAGAGCAATTTTTACAAAACCAATTTTGACATATTTATCTAACAACAATAAAACATATATATTTTTTATACTATTTATTAATTTTGAAAGACTGTTTGATGATTTTTTTTATGTGAATTTATGACCAAAAGTTGTTGTAATGGTTGATGTTTGTTAAGATTGTGTGTGACAAATGGTGTGAAAGGTTGGTGTAATGATGTTTTTAGTTGTGCTAGGCAGTCTACTGATTTTTTTAATTAATCAGCTGCTGAAGATATACTTAATCATAATATATATGTAGAAAACTTAACATACAAAAGCTAAGTTAGTGCACTGTCTAAAGCATTACTTCCCCTAAACTACACAAGCTGTTTTTTTTCTCAAAAGGAAGCATCAATTACCAAGCTGTTACACAATTTATTTTAGGAAACAGAATATTATTAATTGAGAAGGCTATCAGGGCAACATTTTTTATGCAACATAATTCTGAAATGTTGTTGGATATTGAATAATGACTTGAAAGTAATGAAAACATTGTACAGCTGTGCATTTAAATGTTATATTAAAAACTTGTGTAACTACAACTCATGTTACATTGTGATAGTATTCACTGTTATTTTGTTCATTACAAATAACACTATCATGCTATGCTTGTTGAAATGTATTAAATGTTGAGACTATTTGAGCAGTATTTTGTAAAATTCTGGGCACTTCTCTTAACTTGTGGTGAGAAATTCCAGGTGGTCTTAAACATTAAATCAATATATTAACTTAAATCTACACTATTGATTAATTCATTAAAACAAGGTAAACATGAACAACAGGCATAACTATAACTAGTTATGCAAACAATGGCTACGCCCTTGCATTCATAAGTTATATACAATAGAATGACATGCATACCATCTTGCCAGTGTCTTGTGTGAGTTCAGTTTGTATGCATCTGTTGTTATACAAGTTTGTTGGAATTATTGCAAAGTTACTAAGGCTGTCTGCTGGAATCCCTAATTTTGAATTGCCATCAAGAGGGAAGGCAACTGGCCAGCATGGTAACTTTTGGGATACTCTTTATTAACAAATAGGTTTGACCATCACATTGTGACATCCTTGGCTGAAATGGTCTGGTTGTTAAAGTGGCTGGCTCATGAATTGAGGATCATGAATTTCATACTCAGAGCCACTAAACTTGTTTACCTTTTCAACCTTAGGGGTGTTTTAATGTCATGGTCAATCACACAGTCCATTGGTAAAATAGTAGCCCAAAAGTTGGCAGTACATGTTGCCATCCAGTTTCCTTCCATCTGGTAAGCAGTTCAAAATTATGGATGGTAGCAGCTAGCCTAAGTAGCTTTATAATAACTCAGAAACAAACAAAACACCTCCTCAAATCACAATGCAACCACCATACTCACTTGAAAAAAATAATAATGTGAAATCTTAATGCTGATATTTCAATTACTTTGTTTATAGGAATAATCAGAACCACTGCTTGTGATTAGTTGATTATTTTTGTGACATTAATCAATTTAGTTGTAATTTTAATTAATCAGTTATTTTATGTGACACAGATATATGTCACCAATGCTCATAGGTAATCACTTTATTGCCAAAATCTAATAATAGTTTCTGCATCAATGTTCCCTATTTATTTGAAATGCATTTAAAATAATTTAATTTCTTTCCAGAGGTCCTGGCTGTAGTGTTATCAGATGTAGTTTTCTTTCTACAAGAAAATAATCAGAAATATTACTTTGCTTCTGTAGACAATAAGGTAAACATTTACATTCCATTAACATTTAGAATCAATAAATTCTACCACTTTCAACTTCCTGAAATAAAAACATAAACTAAGTGTCTAATGACTTTCACTCTAAAATGTTGTACTACTATTTATAAGAATAAGTGAAACTGTAATGAGTAATTTTCAGTTAAATGATTTATTTACTCAATTATTTTAGTACACAAATGATGCATTTATTAAAAAAAAATTTCCATTATGGTTTTCTTTAATAATTTGTATTCCTCTTTAGTCTGGTGTTGTGTCACTACAGAAGTTGCTAGTAAGGGAGAAGGCTGGGCAGGATAGTCGTGGTATCTATTTGATTAGTTCCAACCCCAGTGAACCTGAAATGTATGAAATGACATGCTACACAGCTAAAGAACAGAAAACGTGGATTGAAGTCATTAAAGGTGCAATAGAACATTGTCCATCCTTAGGTAAATATTTGTGTTTCATATTATTATTTTAGTTTAGAAGTTGTTAGCTTGTTTTTAGGCCTGGCAAAATAAACAATCTCTTTGCCACATTTATATATCATAAGAAAACGTTTACTAGCTTGTACACTCATTTCAACAGTTTCATACCAGACTCCTTCAAACATAACCTTATTCTAAATCTTCTAAACAGAGTGTATAATATCTGTTTTGACTACCACTGTCTTCACTCAGAAATTTCGGAAATTCATTACGTATTACAAAGTAATGGATACCCCTTTAATTTCTTACACTCTTATCACACAAACAAATAAAATAGAACCTACCAAGAAGCCACACATTGTCTCAAAATATCCACTAGTTCTTGTCATTCCTTTCATTGGCAAACAAAGTTTTAAATTCAAATATCAAATTCAAAAGATAGTCAAAACATATTACCAACAAATTAAGCTACGTTTAGTATTTATGTCAACATTTAGAATTAAAAATATGTTTAAAACCAAAGAAACTCTGCCCATTCATATGTGCTCGCGGGTCATATATAAATACTCTTGTGGTAACTATAAAGCTACCTATATTGGTAAAACTACAAATATGTGCACGCAAGCACATGAGAATTTCAGAAAAAAGCATATCTAAGCTATCTACCCGAGTCTTGTATCCAATTGCACAATGAAAATAACAACCAACCAATGCTTCTAGAAAACTTTAAAATTCTTGACTCCGAAACCACAGATTATGAACTCTATTAAAGAAAGCCTTTCCATTTTCCATGATCACCCAACACTAAATAATAACATCAACTCCTCCCAGTTGTCATTAATGTAATCAATTCTGGATTCTCAATGTTTTTATTTTATATTTATTATTATTTTATAGATACATTGTTTATACTCATATTTAAGCATTTCTCTATAATAGTTTCTCTTAACAATTTTATTTATTAAACATGTGTATGCTGCATGTTTTATCATATATTCCATTATATTCTTACTGTTTAAATCTGTTCTTTCTAAACTTCCAATTGAATACAAAAACTCACTCAATGCTAATGTTATTTTTTGTAGTTCGAATATTCCGAATTAATTTTTCTTGAGATATTAATGCTGATGATGGAATTTAAGGAAATTCCAAAAAGTCAATATTAAAGATGTGTTTTTGGTATTACTGTGTTTTTAATATTTAGTATAGATATGGTGATAAAAATTAATTTGATTTTCTGTTGTTTCTCAATGAATAGGTCGGATTAAAAAATCATTCTGCTTTTTAAGTCCATATTTCGATAATGTAGGAAATTTGGTTTATATTTCATGCTTCATGTCTCAATGACATTGATTTCAGTATTTAGTTCTTGATAGATGTCATGGGCAGCCAACAAAAGCCAGGAAACGTTTAAAAAAATGGTGCAATAAAATATAAAGCATTAAAACTAATAGAAATTGATAGGATATATTTTACTCTATCTTATAAATAAAACTTATCTCTGTCCTCCTTTTAGTAATTTACGTACAGCATTTCAAAAGGACTCCAGTCTGTCATGGTCTCTATCTTCACCCCTTTCATACAAAGTTGCTGATCACGGGAGTTCTTATATGCATAAAATAAACTGCATAAGCAATTTATTTAAGAAAATAAACAAACACTCAGAGTATACAAACAGTACAAACCATTAGTAACTTACATTATCTCAAAAGCACAATATCTGCATAGTCTTTAGATGCCTTGAAACATGTTAGGTGAAATTTTAAAACTTTACAATTGATACAAAGAAGTTTGAAGGGAGCTCTATGACATAGATTTTGAGAAAGAACATAATCCAAACTTTCAAACTAAATATAATTATTATTTTATGAATAAATTTGTGAATAAAAAATTTAGGTTGTGTAATTTTACAGTACTTGAGTTCAAAACAAACAAAAAACTTGTACAAAGTCTATAGACAGAAACTTTAACGATTTTCACTATCCCAATAAAAATTATTACTGGGGAAAGAAATTTAAAATTAGGGTTACCAGTTTGAATTTTTTAAATTTCTTTTATGAAAAACAAATGATAATAAAACATAGATTAAAAGAAAATTTTAAATCATAACATTTCATTTATACTTTTTTAGCTAATTTTTGGAAAGATATCAAGAGCAAATTTTTGAAAACTTCATGTTATCAATTTTGATTTTTTTCCAATATAATATTTAACTTTATTTTTATGTTTTCTGCATTTTTATCAACTTAGAAAGTAGAGAATTACAGCATTTTAACTTAAGACTTTTGGGCTAACCAATAAGTCAAAATTATTTACAGTCCAAATACATTAATTTTTTATAGCATATTAATATATTTCAGTTGTGTAAAAAATGTTTTATCTAATTTTCCGGTTTAAAATCTCAAGTTGAAAAGATATTCAGAGGTTTCAGAATTGTACTAAATAAGGCCAAGAAGAAAACAGAATTAAAGGACAAAATACTTGTGGCTTGATAAACTGTTAATACTGTAAACTAAAAATTGAGGGATATTAGTAAATTAGTTTGTGATATTAGAATGCAGACATTTATAAATTGTTTGTGATGATTTAACTTTTAACAGATGAAGGAATTCCAAATGAGAATGAAGAAGAAAGAAAATTAGAAGAAGCAAAGTCAGCAAAAATGAAAGAACTTGTAGGTTAGTTATAGCATATGATACAAGAAAAATGAATGAACCATTACTACACAAAAAATACCATCACACTCTTGCTCATCTTATGTCTTTCTATAATTGTTTATGTATGTACTGTTAATTTTCAAGCTTCTTGAGGTATCCGATTTTATATTACCACATTAACTCATTATGTTGCATTTTCATCACCACTAATTAACTGAAGATAAACACATATGTACTTGTTTGAGATTTTTACTTTGTACATAATCATTACCCTCATGCACAATTCTTTTATTTCTTTTTTTTTTTGCTTCAGAGCCCCAACATTAATAGTAGTTGTTGTCATATGTATATGTGTGTGTATACTTGGCCATTTATTTATAATGGAAGCATAAATACGGAGGATTAAAAAATGTTGAAACTTATAAACTGTTTTCACTGGGAAGAGCAAAACCCTGTGCTCCTGATGAAAGCAGGTATACCTGTTAAAATCTCTTCTTTTTTTTCTTTTCTCTTGTTAGATTATTCATCCTGTTTTCAAATAATGGATTAAAATTGTTTCATAATTAAAAAATTCAAAAGATTACACTACTGTTCACCTGTTACAGTTTGGTTTATATTTTTTGCTGCTGAAAGTTGATAAGATTTCCTCATTTCTTCTTGAGTTTCTCAAAGCATATGTATTTCCAGATTTTTATAAACATTTTGGGTATTCTTTACAAGTCTTTAAGCTTATCAAAGTGGAAAAGAGCAATGCATACCTCTAAAATAGTTTCTTGAATTTAATATTTTTTATGAGTTAAATTTTTTTCTTGTTCAATAATTATTAATATGGGAATTTTACTTTAGCATAATGATTGTGTTTTTACCATAGAAACTCCTTTATGACATTTAGTTCATTTACTAGATTCTTAATGCATACTACAATGCTCAATTTTCTACTTAATTTTAAAAAAGGAAGTTCTAGATAATTGTGGGTAACTGTAAATAGCTCTGTGTAACTATAAATTTGTTTATTCTTTGTATTTTTTAAATGAGTCTCTTAAAAATATAAAAGGATTTTACTTATTTTGCCTTTTTATGACAAGCCTCAAAGGTTAGAACATATTAAAGTAAAAGGTTAGACTGCTTAATTAGTAATAGTACACAAAATATGGTCCACACTCACTTAACGTTTTAGCTTGTATGTCTACAATCTGTGAAAATTATTTATTTTTTAAAGCTAAATTTAGCTTTAAATTATACATTTTTTGTTGAAACTGTCTTTTCAACAGAATACTAGCAATATGATAAAAATTAAATTAATAGTAAATGCACATCTGTTTTATCAATACCCAGGTTTGTTCACTTTTCAGTATCATGAATTTGCTAGTTCTGTCATCTAATTTTATATTTGGTATATTCAAGCATTAGTTAGCTGAAACAAATAAACCTTTAGTACTTAATTCGCACTCCCCAATGGCTCAATGATAAGTCTGAAGGCTTATAACTGTAAAAACTGGGTTTTGATACTGGTGGTTGGCACTCATTGTGTAGCTTTGTGCTTAAAAACAAACAAACAAATTTAATTCATTTACATTTAGAAAAATATAGTTTGTAAAAATGGAATTATTGTAAGTAATTGTATTTTCTTTTACTCCTAGTCTGTATCCATCATGTATACGTGAACAAGTTTTAAAAGAATCTTAAATACCTGTTACTAAAAATCAATGAAATAGATATCAGTATTAAAAAATACATTGTTGTGTAAGTAAAAGAATCTTTAAAAAATTCCTGTAGAAATGTATGTAAATTTTTTTTTTTTTCTGCTAAGAAATTATTGATGCTTTTTTCTGAACTTGATTAGCATTTTATTTTTATATCTCAGTTTCACTTTTTTATTTCTGTGAAGGTCAACTGTATGAAAAAGATTTAGCTGTTGCTCACTTCTGTGAAGATAAGATGCGTATTTTGGCAAGTATTATGGTAAGATTTTATAATATATTAAAACAACATTTTAAATTAAAAGAAATACACTTTATGTCTCAACATTTTGGTTACACAGTTTTATCCAAAACCTTGGGACATAAAATAAACTGGAATAAAGAAATTAAGGTTATACCTAGTTTTTAATTTTTTCATTACCAGTTAACACTTTATTTTTTGAAAAGATTTACCCCTTTCGCCACTGGTATCCTATACTGCACATGACACAAGGTTTTAGTGTCTTACATTCAAAATTTTATTAAACTTCATTTTATTTATGTTATACCAATTAGTATAGCACAAAATCCATATTTTCATAGTATATAAGTTTTAAGTTCTTAATTCTACAAGGCAATATTTTAAAAAATCCTGAATTTCTCCTAGTGTGACACACGTGACTCTAGGTATCTTCTCTTCTCTATTTTACCCACTACCCCTAAAATAACTATGAAATTAAATGTAAATTACTCAGACAAACCATAATTTTTATTGCCTTCAATTTTATTTGGTTACACAATTATCAAATAGAAAATCAGACCCTTCCTGTCATATCCTCTCTTTCAGGATTGGTTAATAGTTCTCTCTTACATTTAATTATATATTACCTATAATCAATTGATAGTAAAGGTTTTCATCTATCAAATATGTATTAAATAATGTTGTGTTCTGAACAGATAAGCATCAATTTCACTTATAATACACAGTTCATTCCCATGGGAACTTAACAACTAGCTTGAATGACTTTTTAATTGCTCTTGTCAGCAAAAACATTTTGAGAGTCAGGGGAAATTGTCTACTTTTTATATGTTATTAGTGTATGTTCTTGGTGCATCATTTAATTGAATAAAAATTGCTTAGTGCATTACTACCGTTAGTATAAAAAAGTGTGGTTAAGTTTCATCAACAATTGACAGCAAAAAAAAAGAAGATTGGGTAAGTACCTTATTTCTTGTTTTTCATGTTTATTCTTTATTTATTGTTAGTTAAGGTTAGATTAAATAAAATAAATAATAATTATGATAATAAAAATGTTTTATAAGGCATGCACATCAGCAGCTCATAGTAGCTCATGGGTAATGTAATTGGATAGTGTAACGTGAGCTGCACATTCCCCAAGTGATTTACAACTTATAATGGTGAGGATAGTAGTTAGACATGATTCAAAAGGTAATAAAATTTAATCATAAATAGATATATACTGTTACAAGTTTAAAGCTACTTAAGATAAATGAATGTAGTTGTGCACTACATTTGAAGTCATTCTAGACAGAAAAAGATGGTAATTTAAATTTATTTCGATTTTTTGGGGGGTTATGAAATCAGTCAAATTGACCAACCTTGTATGGAGTTAGGGTAGAAAAAATAGCAGATAGAATATAAAATTTACTTAAAACAGACATTTGAAATGATTTTTTAGGAGGTTTTAGTTTTTTTGAGATGAAGAAAAGTATTTTTAATCTTAACATGAAAATCACTTTGTGCATGGACTAGTCAAAACAAATATTAGGTCATCAAGAAATTAATGTCATGCTTTGGAACACTTTCATTAACCACCCCCCCAAAAAAATACATCACATGTAATAATTAAACGAAACACCTAAACGTCACTTTAGTGTAGCGTATATAATGTGTAAAGTTTAGTATACTTTAATCCCTTATAGTGATGGCACACGACCAAACACACATGTTGCATGTAATGTTGTTTGAATACAAGAAGGGAAACAATGCCTCTGTAGCCACAAAGAATATCATAGAAGTTTATGGAAATGTTTTGAATGCTCGTAAGTGTCAACGACGGTTCAGAAAATTTCGTTCAGGTTAAAAACTGTGATAGCAGGGGCCGACATGTTGGAATTAATATTGATGCTCTGAAAA